ATAGTGTAGTATAGTATAGTGTAGTGTAGTGTTGCGTGGCGTGCTATGGCATGGTATAGTGTAGTATAGTGTATTGTAGCATAGCATAGCATAGCACAGAATAGCGTAGTGTAGTGTAGTATAGTAAATATGGTATAGTATAGTCAGGATGCAGCTTTCTCCTGGTTGGTGTTTAAATGGTATTTCTTTTCCATCAATTTGAACATTTCTTTGTCCTTATATCTGTGAGGTGTGCATTGTTCAATATATAATGTTGGATATTGTTCATTTTATGTAAAGCAACAATTATTATATTTCTGGATATACTGTCTATGACATCTAATATAATTATAATACATTAGAATTTATATTTTCCTTATTAATGTATTGGCCATTTGATTCATCTGTTTCACATATACTCCTCTTGTCTTCCTCTGTTTTAAGTAAATACATATATTCAGTTCCATTTTTCCTCTATTAACATATTAATCATACATTATTATTATCGTTTTATAATTCTTTCCTGTGCTGTATGCAGGCATCACTTTTTTACTTTCTACTTAGGTATTTGAGGTATACAATTTAGTGGCATTTAGGACACATATCAACAATATCTCATTTCATGATGATTAAAGAAAACTCTATAAAACATCAACTGAGTATTTTTCAACTGTGAGGAAATAAGAACAAAGATATCTATAAGTCAATGTGGAGAAATATTAGAATATATTGCTGAATGAAAAAAGGATTGTGTAAAAGAGTATTTATAGCATGCTACTTCTTATGTAAAAAACAAAGGGAATAAAATATACATGTGTCTGCCCATTTGAGCTGAAAGAAGAACAGGAAGAATGAATTAGAAACTAATGAAATTGTTTACCGACAGTAGTTGGGGCAGAAGAGATGAGGAGATGAGTAGAATTATTCATGTAGTTTTGACTGTGCTGTGTTTTGCAAGTAAAACATAAATATTAAAGGTGGTTAATAAAGCAAAGTAGAATAAAACAAATCAAATGTACTTAACTATATTTCAAAATAACTCCAAAGTTAGAGTAAAGGGGAAAAATAAATAAAGACCCTAAGATATTTTCGAAACCAGAATTTATATTTATCTTTCAATTAAAAATAAAACACTGAAAACAATGTCGTAAGTTGTACATTGCATGGCATTTACAGTTCAAGGTTCTGAAACAAGTCGCCATGTATCCAACGATTCAGCACATAAGCAACCATTGAGGAAAAGGAAGTGACCCTCACTCTGGGAAAGGTTCTCTGTACGTGGAAAAGGAGAGGCTGGAAAGGACTCCATGGTGTCAAACTAGAATTGGAGCTATCAATTCAAACTCCTGGGTTTTAAATGTATAAACAGATTGCAATTTACATGTTATATATCATCATCTATACTGTTCCCATCCTCATACTTTCTGTCCTGCTCTGACCCACCTGCTATGGGCAAACATGCTTTTAGGTTTTAGTTTCTAGTTTTCCCTTCCTGTGTTTCTTTTATATATATTTCCCAGTTGGCTTCTCTGAGACCATTTAGGATCCTTGAAAGCAATGAACTCACCCAAAGCTATAAAATGAATAACAACAGTAATGGATTATAACTTAGAGAATACGAATCAACAAATACATAATAATATAAATGAATAAATAAAAAACTAACAGGTGTTGGATAAGAATAACTTCCTTTTTTAGGATAGCACAACTAATAAAGAAGAAATTATAGAATTTAAAAATCACCATTTGGCCTTCACATTTGCAATAATTTTCTCACATAAGAATCACCAATGACAGCGTCACAGGGGAGTTTTACCAAACATTCTAAGAAGAACTAACACTTTGTCTTCAAACTACTCCAAAACATTCAAGAGGAAGGAACACTTCTAACCTCTTTTTATGAGGCCAGCATTATCCCAATTCCAAAACCAGATAAAGACACTACAAAGAAAGAAAATTACAGGCCAGTATTCCTGGTGAACATAGATGCTAAAAATCACAATAAAATATTAGCAAATCGGATCCAGCAATATAGTAGAAAGATCATACACCATGACCAAGTGGGATTTATCCCAGGGATGCAAGGCTGGTACAGTATTCGCAAATTAGTAAAGCTGATACATCACATAAACAAACTGAAAGACAAAAATCACTCAATGATCATATCAATCGAGGCAGAAAAAGCACTCGACAAAGTCCAACACCCATTTTTGACAAAAACTCTCAGCAAAGTGGGATAGAGGGATCATACCTGAACATAATAAAGGCCATATATGACCAACCTACAGCCAAAATTGTACTCAATGGGCAAAAACTAAAACCATTTTCAGTAAGAACAGGAGCAAGAGGGGATTTACACTTTTACCACTCTTATTCAATACTAGAGGCCCAATGCATGAAATTCATGCAAGAGTAGGCCTTACGTCCCCCCGCTGCCGGCACCAGCTTCCCTTTGGCACCCGGGACCCGGGCTACCCTCGTCTGGAAGGTTGTCTGGAAGGATGTCTGGTCTAATTAGCATATTACATTTTTATTATTATCCATAGTACTGGAAGTGCTAGGACAGTGATTAAACAAGAGGAAAATATAAAAGTCATCCAAATTGAAAAGGAGGAAGTAAAATTCTCATTATTTGCAGACAACACAATATTGCACATAGAAAACTGTAAACACTCCACCAAAAAAACTACTAGATTTAATAAATTAATTTGGCAATGTAGCAGGATAAAAAATTAACACCCAGAAATCCATAGCATTTTTATACACCAATAATGATCTATCAGAAAGAGAAACCAAAAAAATCTTATTTACCATTGCAAGAAAAAGGTAAGAATTTATTAATAAAAATGTATCAATAAACTTAACCAAGGAGGTAAAAGACTTGTTCTGGGAAAACTACAAAACAATGCAAAAAGATATAGAAAAACATATAAACAAGTGGAAGAATATATTGTATACATAGATCCGTCGAATTAACATCATTAAAATGTCCATACTACCCAAAGCAATCTATAAATTCAATGCAATACTTATTAAAACACCAACGGCATATTTCACAGATCTAGAACAAACACTCCCAAAAGACCATAAATAGCCGCAGCAAACTTGAGAAAGAAGAACAAAGTTGGAGAGATCACAATACCAGATATCAAGTTATATTACAAAGACACTGTAATCAAATCAGCCTGGTACTGGCACAAGTACAGGTACACAGATATGGGACAGAACAGAGACCCCAGAAACTGACTCAAGCCGTTATGCTCACTTAAAATTTGACAATGGAGAAAAGAGCATACAATGGAGTCAAGACAATCTCTTCAATAAATAGTGTTGGGGGGTGGGGCGGGTAAGAGATCAACCGAAGGACTTTTATGCGTGCATATAAGCATAACCAATGGACACAAGACACTGGGGGGTAGGGGAGGCCGGGGGAATGTCAAGCGGGGGAAAAAAGGAGACATATGTAATACTCTTTGTAATACTTTAAGCAATAAAACAAAATAAAAAAAATAGTGTTGGGAAAATTGGAGAGATGCATGCAAAAAAAAAAAAAAGAAACTAGATCACCAACTTACACTATACATAAAAATAAACTCAAACTGGATAAAAGACTTAAATGTGAGTCATGAAACCATAAACATCCTAAAAGAAAACAAAAACATAGGCATCAAAATCTCAGACATTTCATGTAGCAGAAATCCCACAGGTATATAGCCTAGGGCCGTGGTCAGCAAACTGCAGCTTGCAAGCCACATGTGGCTCTTTGGCCCCTTGAGTGTGGTTCTTCCACAAAATACCATGTGCGGGCGTGCACTTACAGTGTGATTACAACTTCGTGGCCCATGCGCAGAATTCGGTATTTTGTGGAAGAGCCACACTCAAGGGGCCAAAGAGCCGCATGTGACTCGCGAGCCGCAGTTTGCAGACCACTGGCCTAGGGCAAAAGAAATAAGGGAAAAGTAAACAAATGAGACTACATCAAAATAAAAAGCTTTTGCACAACAAAGGAAACTAGCATCAAAATGAAAAGGGACCCCACTGTATGGGAGAACATATTTGCCAATGATACATCTGATAGGGGGTTAATTTCCAAAATATATAACATACTCGTGCAACTCAACAAAAGGAAGACTAAGAATCCAATTGAAAAATGGGCAGGAGACCCTAATAAACACTT